TATCTTTATTTCCTTGTACTCACTTTCACAGGATACAACCAACAGAATAAGGCAGCTGGGCTTTTTGATGAAGTCCAGGACCAACTCCTTAACCTCTGCAATGTCTTCGTTCCTGCCCCCGCTCCTAACAGAGGCAATGATTCCTGCACCAAGAGTTTAGCAACTGGATGATAACCTTATCTCAAAACCATACCTGGAAGGTCCACAAAGGAAAGGTCATCCACATCCTTGCCCGAAATTCGCACCGAGACTAGGTCCTTGGAAAAAGAAATTTCATTGTTTGCGGGAGTTGGGCAGGTTGGTTTGAGAAATTCTGCTGAAGAAATCGAGGGGTTCAAGATGGCTAATTGTGCTCGGCGTATGCGCTCTTGGACATCAGATTTTGCCCTGATAGGCTCCCCAAATTTCTCCTCTCCAAGACCACCGCTGAGTCGTCTTAGATAAACCTCACATGACCAGTCTTCGTCAGGACGTTTTGACAACCTACATTCGATGGGACAACTGCAGATACTACTGAGTTCTGATATATAAGTCAAGGTGCGAGTTTACCCACCGAGTACAAGTGCCCGAAGACCTAGGTAAGGTAATCTTGCAAAAGGTTAGTGGCTCGTACTGTATAGTATCTTGGTTCATATATACCGTCGACATGGATTCGATCAAAGAACTTTTCCCAACGGATTGCGAGCCAACGACCGCAATTTGAGGTAGGTCTAGTGAATGTTGCAAGCTGATGAGATGCTCCATCAGCTGTTTCTTCTGTCGAGAATATAATACTCACCCATAACTGTGAAGTTTGTTGGCAATATCGAGGACTTTGCGACGGTGCCGGAATTGTAAACACGTGGGATCCGAGAGACCTCCAGTAGGGTTATCCTCCACGACATTGTCATAGGAATCGTCGCGCGAGCTGACAGACATCGAGGAAATGTTCAGAGGGAAGAAAATGACAGAGTATGGGGGCAATCTAAACACACTTGGACAAAGGACCTATATACGGACGGAGGATTAAGTTGGCAGGCTCTCCAATTACCCCTCGATCAAATGAGGCAAACAGGGGGAGAAGGTGTATCCAAAGAGGGCATGATTTGACAAAGATACCCAAAAGCTGTACTTACGAGAACGGTTGTATGCCAGTCATTTTCTAGAGCCAACTCAGTCTTCTGACGGGACACGCGAACATCACGTTGGTGGAAAATAAGTACACGTTGAATTCATCTCAGTTGTCAGGCTTTGTTTTGTCTTGCTAAGAGACTGTCATCGCTAATCGCGGCACTACCTCCATTAGTCCATGAATATGTGGAAAAGGACCTTTACCCGTATTGATTATGGGCTGTCGCAGGGGAAAAGGGACGAATAAACTGTACTTTGTTAGGCTCCACAACTCCTTTGGCCAACCAGTGGCGGCTGCCAGCTGAGAAGCATGAATAGCTCGAAAAGATTTATCTCCTAGTAGCGAGGAGTTACCGTCTAGAATATTTGATAGACTCATGGTTCGTGAACCTGAATGAAAGGTCCAGTCTTTGGCTATTGGGGCAACGTTCTCGATGGTGCTGGGGCATTGCGATGGGACCGTAGAATATTGAGTGGGCTATTACGCAGGAAACCTCAATTTCTATGAAATTATCTGGTAGTAGTCTGATGAAAGTGTCTCCTATTCATCTGACAGAATACTCTAGAGATAGGTCAAGCTCCCAGCAAGTGAGGCGGGATCAGCCCACCTTCATCAATCACTTGTCGATGCCGGCTGGGAGATAGAACTCCTCCTTGAATACGTTTCTGTCTCCGTTACCCATTGTAGTATGGCGCGCCACCACAATGGCTCCCACATACCTTCGACAACCGTGTTGGTTGTGCTCGTCATTTCCCGATAAGTTGAGAGTGAACCCTTCGTATTAACTTGTAACGAACGAAGGATTGCCATAAAAGGAGGGGCCACCCGTCCATGGCGGTCGAATAATGCGCTGATCGGTCACTTCACAGGTTATTGGTATCTAACTGAATATCTCAATGGAGTGAAGAAGGAAATAGGAATTCGCATAGTCTCTAGCTGAATGCAGTGTAGCGTATAGCATCTGCGACATGCGTTAACGACTCGTCGTTATCTATTGCCTGCAACTTGCCTATTCTACTTCATGGTTTCGACTTTCCCCAAAGCTCCTCGTGTGTCGCGACGCCTGAAATAAATTTAGTTAACAATCAACGAATTCAAATACATGTTCATAAACCCACCCAATTCCTCTTTGACATCTTTAAGTTCTGCCAGGTATTGCTCGTATTGGGACCGGTTTTCGACTTTCTCTGCCAAGCCTTCGAATATTCTGACCGCTGTCGAGTAGTCGTTGACCCTCCTTGCTGCCTTTAGGGCTGCCTTGATGATTTCAGGTGAGGGAACGAGGTCGTAAGCGAAACAGTTGTTGAGGCCTCGTTGGAGCTCGAAAATGTCTTGAACACCTCCGAAAAAGCTTGTATATCTATCCGTGAACTGCTCAAAGGTTTCTTCTGCGTGAGCTGAGGACAGGCGTGTCTGGAACACCGCCGTCGGGATCGGTCGAGCTGCTCGTTGGAGACGGGAAGTTTGGAGTACTGCTCTGGCGGTTGGTTGGAGGCGCGCACGCAGCATTTTTGCAAGTTCGATGGAGGGAGTGAGGTCAAGTTTGAGCAACAAAGAAAGTCTCGACGTCTCTGGACCACCTTTTTGGACCACGGCTTCCCTCCCGGCTATACTATAAATGATG